AAAGATATAAAATCAAGCTTGCAAACAATAACAGAGCAACCATCTCATAAAAAGATATAAAGAAAAAGGTAACCAATAAGTGAAATCAAATATTAGAAATAGTAATACATTAATTGAAGACTTATGTTACTTTTGGGAAGATTTGGACCGCCCTTTTAAGTGTGATTCAGTAAACAATATACAGGGGTATACAATGTGCAAATGATAGAATAGAAACATGTGAGAATTATATTAAACAAAAGAGCATCGCCCTAGCTTGCTATCTAACACCTCTTCTAACATTATCAAAATGGGGTGAATTAGCACCCACTTATATCGCCATATTGCTGTAGCATGAAGATTCCTGGAGAAAAGAAGACGACCAAAAGAAAGTAGCCACTCTAGTTTCGAAGACGAATTTTTTCAGAGTATTGTTTAACTACTCCAACACTCATCTTATATATGTTTAGGTTTGATAAATTTCTCAAAATGAAAATGCAGTAACATGAGTAATCATGCTGTAATCAGAATTACTTTAAACATCAAGTAAAAGGTAGTAAAAACTATAGGCCTTCATTCAGAATACAATTTTACATGAGATTTTTTTTTTTTGCAAATTAGCATGACATATAAGATAGCCTTGCAAAAGACCGGTATATTATTTGAACCATGTCAGTCCATGCAAACAAATTAACAAAAGATTTCAAAAAGGAAGGTAGATCATACAAAATGGCAGTTATCACTGATGAACATGCAAAATGACATGGTATTGAATTAGAGCATTACCCTCTTGGTTTCTTACCTGACGGAGCTCTTTCTCTTTACCATCCAAGTGGACTTTAGGCATGACATGGTCCTTGTCTGCTGCCTAAAATAATGAAGCAAGAAACAGGTTGCACATGTGCTCTGTGTTTGAGATAAGATTAATGTGCTTAACACATTGAAGAGCCTGAGAACCAATTGACCGACGGACAGGCAATTCATATAAAAAAATAAGTACATTAGCATTTCATGGCTATTTACTAAATGGTAAAATTATACATGGAGTAGCACTGTCAAATCAAATTAATCTGACAGGCTTCTAACAGGAGGATTTCATACTAAAGAATTCTCCTAAACAGAACAACGACTAATTAAGGACAATAAATGGATACGAAAAGGAATCACACCAGGATGTGCCTAAATTCTGAGGCATGCTTCCTATATAATCTAGAAATTTATCAGTGCACCACCAGTTGATCTCCCCTGCACTCTCCTGTTTCTTTGAAATACAATAAGGTCTCCTCTGCACTCTCCTGTTTCTTTGAAATACAATAAGATCCATTATGCTTACAAGCAGAATTATTATCCTTATGGTCTAGCTGTATTGCTTGCTGCCTTGTTGGACTGTAGTACACCATGCATAAAAAATTGACAATAGATAAACTGGATGGAAAAAACAGGAATACGCAGGCTAACAATCTGAGGGTAGGCAGTGGGTTGGTTACCTTTCATCGCGATCATGAACTCGCGGCAGTGCGCGCCGACTGCATCTGTGCTAGGGCCTTGAGAGTTTCCCAGCTTAGTTTTTTGTGTAAGGAAATTGATCAATAGAACTGACAAATCGCAGCACCAGCAATTTTGCTGACCCATTGTAGAATTGCAAGATCTAGGCATTCCTAAATAAGATAAATTTGCAGTAGAAGAAACAACTTAACTATAACAGCACCCCAGATGAAAGGAAAGAAAAAATTGTCACATGAACAGATCGTACCTTCAGAGCAGCTTCTGTGGGCATCCCAGTAGCAACATACTGATGCTCAGAGTGAGCAATGCTTGCATCATTGCAAACAGTAGCGATCTTTGCTTAAGCTTTGACCAAACCACACCAATAGGCTCCATAACTGAAGCATGCAAGCAAGGAAAAATACAACACGAATCGACAGGTTCCAGCTTGCTGTATGGAGCGAGGCTATCGGTCTCTGCCGAGGCGCCGAGGCGGCCGAGGGGCGAGGGCAGGGTGGGGCCGAGGCCAAGTGCCCGAGTGGGCGGCTAGTGGTCAGCGGCGGACGACGACGGTCCGGCGGAGGCACGGTTGCGCGAAGCCGCGATGCCGACGGCCGGGGCAGGGGCGGCCGGTGGGTCGAGAAAGATGGAGAAGGGGGAGCTGATTGAGAACTGATATGCGCTGATTGAGAACCGATATGTGCGTCGGGACCATGTCGTCGCCGGGGGCCGCCGTGGCATTAGGGCTTCAGCGGCTCAGGGAGGAGGCAGCCTCCACACCAGTGATTTGGAGGGGAGACGCAGATGGGTCGTGTGGACTCAGGCGCAAGCAAGGAAAAGGGCCATAGAAGGGGGAATCATGACGACGGGTACAGGAGGTGGGTACGTCGAGAGGTGGGTGAAAAAAATCAAGATTGGAGAAGGGGTTCAATATTTTTGAACGGCAGGAACGCGTAAGACGTCTTACGGAGGCCGTAAGACGGTAGATGGCCCACAATTTGATTAAGGAACACCATCAGATTTAAAGATGCTTAGCCATCCAAGGGTCTAGATATGGGTAGAAAACTTTTAGGTGACGGCTATTTTATAATTCCTTCGCTCTTTTATAGTATAGAAAGACTAGCAAACATGTCCATGTGTTGCAATAGAATATACAACTTATCATACAATCATTTGGATCAGTCCATGCCAATAATAATGAGTTAGCTATCTTTGTTGGACTTACTTAAGCTTGACGTAACCTTATTTCAACTGAATCAAATAAAGTCCAAGGTTGACAATAAATGCTAGGTGCAATAAAGGAATAGTCTCGTTTGGAAAATTGACTGGAGATTGGTTCAACTTAAATGGATGGCTATTATGCATGAGTCCATGTTGTGAGGTTAAGGAAAGTGGAAGATGTGCCGCAAGGTGTAGGAGTAAGAGATAGATGGGGGGAGAGAGAGATTGGTGAGGGAGGGGGGCATACAAAAAGATATTTATTGCTTTCAATTTCATTATAGGGATAAAACTAAAACAACCTTATTTTAAAACAGATCGAGGAAGTAAAAGCCAAAGTTCATACCTTATTTCAGACAACTACTAGGGATTGGAACGGACCAAACCTAGCCCTAGACTTGAATCTAGCTCCATGGCCCCAAGGCATGCACTTGCCGACTCATTAGGTAGCACGGATCGACCCAAATATTTTTCTGTTATCATGGGTTATACTATCAGCGCTTCTAGAAATATGTGATACAAGATTGAAAATATTGATAACGCATATTAAGATTATTATTATTATGCCATGCATAAAAAAAAGTTCCGAAGTGAACGGTGATTCCAATTTTATCTTATTTCACCTCCAAAATATGACATTTCTTGATTTTACTTCCAAGCATGGACATGCTTAACAAGTAGCATCAATCGTGCTTGCCCAGGAAAAATAAGAAAACCAATAAATAAGAAAAAAATTTGTTATGTGACAATTGAATCGACCCATCGCAAGTTGGTCAATAGGTTCCAGTTCTATCGACCCATTTTCGATTTTTGAAGCCAGCTCTGCAGCTCGTTGACCTTGTTTTCATGAGTCAGGTCAACTGCCTAATGGGTTGACCGAACCAGTCTCATCCCTAGCAAGTACCATTCCATTTGACTAATGGCTATGCGCCGTCTTCCTCTAGCTTATGTTGTTTTCTCTCATGCCTAACAAAGTGAGCTATTTTCGCTCTCCTCTCTCAGTACGTCTTGCTTACTTGTGTCATCAACCCACTCTCCTCTTGGGGAATGGGAATGCCGCATGAACTATTGTTACTTGTCTCACTAGCCCCACTATCTCGCCACTCCATAACCTTGCTTGCCTCCACCATCGGGCCATTTCTTCCCCGATATCTCTCCTGCAACTCTCCACTTTAAGGGCTCAAGGCCCAATCCAGATCCATCTGCGGTATATAGCAGGTGTCGTTGTCTTTTATTTACTACTATTTGCCCGTTTTATTCTTCTATAAACAAAAAAATCAAGAATAGATATAGTTTGAAAATTTTACATAGTTATATGATACCACCTCACCTATATATGTTATTATTTTTAAGTATGTTTTACTAAAAAAACATCTAGGAGATCGAGTAGGAGTACAAATGTTTTGTGTCGATTTCATGACTCGATAGAATTGAAGGTTTTCTTTTTCTATTTTCCATGTAATTATGTATATTCTCTTTATGGCATACATAAAAAACAATTTTTTTAGATAAAGGAATATTACATTCCGGACTCCAATATTCGCAAATGAATGAGTGTAGCCATTTAGAGCAGACTCATGGTGCTTAGACCACACTTCACCATTCGGTGACACAAAATTAAGATATACAAAGGAACGAGACATATAAAAATCATAAATGCAGATTTATATTATCGATCCTCAAGTAATTTTTCTTCTAATATTGTAAATGTACCAGTAGAGTCTATATATAAAAATTCAATAAATTAGACAAAGATGATGTGTACACAAGATGCTTTTATACATTATATACCCATGATGCTTTGTAGATGATGTGTACACAAGATGCTTTTACATTAGTAGAAAACAAAGTATATAGCATCAACATATATGATACACTGATACGAGAAAATTGAACTAAAAAAAGATCACATTGATCGTAACAAAATGCAGTCACCACGAGTTCTTTTCCAAATAAATTAGACATATTGCATTATTGGTAGGTTGGTATGCATCAACATATATGATACGGTGATACGAAAATTGAACTAAAAAAAAGATCGCATTGATCGTAACAAATGCAGTCACCACGAGTTCTTTTCCAAATAAATTAGACATATTACATTATTATATTGGTAGGTTGGTATGCATGCACCGGCATGCGCGGGTTGTTTGTCTGGACGATAATGCTTGGCTAAAGTGTGTGTGTGTGTGTAGTGGTTAAACTTAAAGAGAAGGCAACTTAATTGTTGTCGTTATATATGCGTTGATGAAAACACTAGCTTGTAGCACGCAGAAGAAGAGGATGCCTGGACCGATGATTGAACGATGAGCTAGCAGCTATGCCGCCTGCGTGTATGGCACGAAGCTGCGCAGCACCCATGTCGTGGAGCGCGACCCGGGCTTGCCCCGGACGACGCACTGGTACAGCGCTGTGCTCCCGGTGTCTGTGTTCTTCACATTCAGCACGAGCCGGTAGTCGGTAATGCCATTGCCTACCGGCTGGGTCTCGCCTCCCACCACGTTCACCAGCTGCAGGGGCAGGTGCTTGCGGGCGTCGGCGTTGCTGTAGACGATCACGGCAAAGTTGCCCACCTGCTTGACCACCAGGGTCCCCGGGTTCGCGATCGGCGTCCAGACCGCGTCGGCCCCGTCGGGGAACGCGACGACGGCGACGAGCGCGGCCACCAGCAGTGGGAGCAGCGACCTCATGGCTTAGCTAGCTGGTGTAGTGGTGTGTAGCCTAGCTAGCTACTACTAGGAACTAATACACTAGCCGCCGGCTTGGTTGCTGCTGTGACTGTGTGTGCTTTCTCGTCTCGTGCCAGTGAGCAACGTACTTGGCCGACGTTGCCATGCACGGCGAGGAACGCAGTGGTCTTTATAGGCAGGTAAAGCGCAAAGCGACGACGCGTCCGTCTGAAGCGAAGGCCGAAACCGACGCGCGCGGCCTAGAGGGAAAAGACAGGGTTGCAGCCTAGCTTGCAGGCCGGGGTCATGTGAACTCCAATGTACTTTGTCAGTTAGTGCGCGAGCGTTGTTTACCATTGCCCATGCAATATGCATATATATGCATGCGTGCTTCAGCTTGCAAAGCATTGACGTCTTGAGTCTTGACGCGGCCTCGAGATCGCGAGGGCGCGGTGAGATCCAATATAATTTGCTTCAAGGAACTGGTGTTTCTTAGGCGCACGTTTGATGAAGCTTGAGATGCTCGTCAGTCGTCGTTAGTTTGGCTCGATTTTTTACGTTTTGCCGTGTGGTTTTGTAGGATTCAGAACCGAGCAAAGTCCACTCTTCGTGGCAGCCGTTGGAGTCAGCATGAGTGTTGCCGACTCGCCGTACTAGCAACTCATTTTCTAGCGGCTGCCTCGATGCCACTACTGCACATCTACCTGGAAAAAGGGGCCAATGAGAGTATGAGACCTTGCTTGTCGTTTGTAAAATTGTACAGTACGAGGGAGAAGACAGCTGTTTATCCTCCGAATCTTGGGACTTCGATCGTGGCTACCATTACAAGTACGTTTAATTACAACCGCCAAGGCAAATGCATGCAAGTTGCTAATACAAATTACTAGCATTCAAAGCTCAGTCAACTCAACGGTGTCTTGTTGTTATTTGGGTACACTTTACTTGTGCTTTTCTCAACCATATATGTATATATAATCTCCATTGCTTTGCTTAAAAATGATCAAATGGACTAAAGAAGAGTGCTAGTTGCCCAAAAAATACGGCATGGTATCTTCCATGAAGATCATGTGTGATCTTTGTAGCTTCCATTTGCATTATTGCGTCTTGATTCTTGAAATATATATCCATAAACGTGTACTCCCCCTTTTCTTTTCCTTATGTGTGCTTTCCGGTGAAGAAAGCTATAGCAAGTTTCGAGATTTATCTAACTTCCATGCTAAACGTACGTAGTGATCATGAATCTTCACTGCTTACTATACCTTCGTGTCGGTAAAGGATTTTCATGGACAAACTGTGGTCAACATGCACAGTGTGCCGACTTGTATATGTACGTGCCCAGTGTGTATAGACATGCATGGACTTAGTGGTTGATAAACCCAATCATTTAGACTAACATGTGTGCTTGATATGTTTACATCTTTTCTTAGGTCCTAGTGATGCAAGAAAAATCAAAACAAGGGAATGCATTCGAGCCATGACAAAGAGTGGGTTAAATTGGATTTGTCCCATCACTTTCTTGTTTATCAATTTGGTACGCTATCATGATCAAGTTGTAGAGATTTTCACAAATTTTCCAATGAGTCCAAGATCATCAAATCTGGAGTCCAGAGTTAAAAAAAATATGACCAAAATACTAAAGCATCAATATATGCACAAAATGATAATCTTCATCGATGATCCGCTCATAATTTTTGTTAGTCTAGTGTAGTGTTTTTTTGCATAATTGAAAGGACCTTATGTCGCCTAGAGGGGGGTGGGGGTGAATAGGCCTGTTTAAAACAAACTCGCAGCGGAAGTTAGATTCTAAGTGCGGCACTGCCTCACTGAAAATGCAGCACTGCCGCACTAAATATGCAGCACTGTCTCCAAACTTGGAGATGTGCGTGGAGATGTCTAGTGGCAAGTCCACTGAGTACTTGCACGCACAAACACGCACAACCAAGTAAATCGAGTGGAACGCAAATAATGCAATTCAAAGCACAAGAGAGAAGACACACGATTTATCCCATGGTTCAGCTCGTCACCAAGGCTTGCCTATGTCCACGTTGTTGAGGCAGCCACTAAGGCTTGGGCTTTGCAGCCCTCCTCGTTCTCAAGTCAAGAGAGTGAACTCTTGAGATGAGGGGTTTCCACTAGATCAATGGGTAATACAAACTTTTCCGCGGCTCACCACAAGCACGGGAGCTCGCCGGGCGACGCATAGTCGTCTAGGAGGCTTCACCTCCAAGAGTAACAAATGGGCAACGAAGATTGACGAAGCCCGACAAGTGCTCAAGGTTTTGCTTGCTCTAATCAGCTCTCTAACACTTAATCACACACTAATCACTTGCTCTCATAAAGATAGGGGTTAGAGAGAGCTCTCACAAGACTTGGAAAGGGTTTGAAATATTGGGAGCATCAATGACCTCACCGGGGAGGCGTGGGATGGTATATATAGACCAAATCCCAAAACTAGCCGTTATGACCTATACAGGTGCGGCACTGCCGCTCCGACCCGCAACACTGCTGCGAAAATTCGCGGCACCGCCATAACTCGAAAAAATAGCATGGTCACCGGCTAGAAAATGCCATAACTTTTACTCGAACTCCGTTTTCAGTGATCTTGGACTTTCTCGAAAATCTTGTTTCGAGGGCTATCCAGCCCAGCCAAGAGAAAGCCCCAAGATCAACAAGTGCAAGTGTTGTGCTAATGTGTTTCTCTCATGTTAGCACTTGGGTTCTAAGTTAGTTTGAGCACTTGAGACTTGTCTATGATTCAGATTGCATCCCCCCGATATGTCGGCATACCTATACTCAAGATCAAGAGAATATAACCATTTCAACCACTTGAGTCTTCAATGTCTTCATATGCCATTTCTTCTCAATATCACTTCATAAGGGGTTGTAGTCATCTTTGTCTCATCTCTTCGAGCAAACATACCTTGAGCATGTAACTTGAACCATTTCCATATATATGAGTTCACCTCATGGCTTCAAATCTCTTCTACTAATGATTTGATCCTCAACACAATATGACTCCTCATAGCTCGATTAGTTACTCGACTCAATGCAAGTACTCTCTTCTTCACCTTAGCCATGGTACCTCTGTCCTCAAGCCATCGCTTGCCCTTCACCTTCGCTTAGTCCCTTGAAGCCCTTTCCTTGCTATCTTCACCTTATCGAGCCATACTCAAGTCACATCATATTAAGCATCCATTGAAAAAACATTTCTTCAATATTATGATCCTTGCTTGAATATCTTCTAGATATGAATGTTGAGATCAATCAAGTTTTAGGTGGATTCACTTAGATTGAGATATATGAATCAACATCGATATGGTCAAGCCAATTCATGATTCCTTATGTCCTCTTCATTTTGGCTTAACACTCGTAACACTCACTTCAATATCTATCTTCATACTTCTAGCTTGATCAAATCAATGCAAAGTGATTTTCTAAATCTTTATCCATACAAGAAAACCAGCAGAGACCGACTTATATACAATATGAGTTGTGTCATTTGTCATTTAACCTTTGCTTGGTATTTCTTCACTTATGCATTCTTGAGTCATTATTCAATCCTTGATCAAAGCTAATCCACTATCAAACTCTCTTCTTGTTCACGCAAAGCAAGCCATTATTGAGACCAATCCAAAATCATCAACTCATGTCTCTTTTGCCATTTGCCAAATATGCTTGCTTTCTCATGATACTATGATATCCCTCAACATAGAAGCCATTTCATCAACTCCATTTGTATTGTTGTCTTTCTCTTGAACTATATTGTTTCTATGATCTTCCAACAGAACAATACACAATTTTGGCCTTGATTTGAACATTATGTGGAATATCATCAAGTTTGCCTTCTTGTTGAACCTATATACACTTCTCATTTCACAATACACAAGTGTATGCAATAAACTCAATTTCCTGTTTAACACTTAGCAAACTTATCAGACCTTTAATGGTGTTGTCATTCAATTCATCAAACCCCACAAAAGGGATAGATGCACTTACAATAATCTTGTAGAGCACCTCACAACTATCAAACAAGTACAAAATACCGAGAAGAAAGTGTGTTGAAACTATACTAACCGCAAATGATCATGTGTTCAATGTTTTTGGGTTAGCAAACCATCTGGTGACCAGAAATGATGCAAAAAAATACATTTGGTTGATCTCTTGTAAGCTTAGTTGTCAGGACCTTGGCATCTTTGTTGCTCATTGGCAATGTCAATGACCCCTATGAGCTTTGTACGGAGCGACAATGACTTTTCGTGAAGGGGATGAGGAGACCCCTTGGTGGAGAAGCTCAATAGTGGATGGCGTTAAGGTGACCGAGAGAGTCGAGCGGCAATGGTTGCCGCTCGACTCTCTCGGTCACCTTAACGCCATCCACTAGTGGCTTGCAACATTTGGCTTGGTTGGAATATCGTGACCTTGAGAATGCTTGGTGACGAGGATCTTACCTCAAATGAGAACTTCAACATGGCCTAGGGTTTGCATTTTGGTAACTGATGCCATAGAATGTATCGTCTCGTCTCATGAGTTTGTAACTCCTTTCTTGAACTATTTACTAACCACATTTGTGTTTTAGTAAATGTTTTGTTTGTGTGGGGTATCTTTTCTAGGGAAGCTTATTAGGCTAGTTGTTAGTTGTTTTAGTCTATATATCTGGTACTGTTCAAGTTATAACTTAGGCTATAAGACAATCCAATTTACTTATCCCCTCTTGGATCGGCCTCAAATCCTTACGCTCATTTTTTTTTACTTTTGACATCTTTTAAATAACTACCGAGAGTCTATGTATACAGTACTAGAATATTATAGGCCTTCCAACATTAGATTTCTCAGCTCTAAAATCTATGGTTCCAACTAGACTTATCTTGGTGCGTCCTCTTTTTCTTTTTAGAATACGACGTGCTAGAATTTGAAACTCTTTGTAAGCATATATTTTACAAAATAAAGTGTTTGACCTCACAATCAAGTTATCCGATAACTCCAATGCAGTAGTGGAGGGAGGGGATTAAGGACCGCTAAGT